TGGCTACGTTACTTATTTTTCTTATTTAAGTAGAGTTTCGAGACTACCACTAAATCAGTTATATGAGATGTATTCAATGAAAACATCAGCTCTACTCATATCATTGTGGGAAAATTCTACTACCAGTCCTTCATCACCTTAAACGAAATTGGGTGTTACTGATTTAATGGTAGTATCAAACTCTACATTAATACGAAAAATATGTAACGTAGTCGATTGTTATAGAAATATACGTTTGCTTCATCGAAAATCCCACCCAAGAATGTGATATGGGAAAAAGCCTGGGCTTCCTTGAAATTCACATTTGTCCTGTGACCCAAGGGGACTCGTGGCAATGTGGTCTAGGGGTTAATGTTTCAAGCTACCTTTCTGCACTGTCAGGGTTCGACTCACGCTGGAGGTGTTGATAAGACCGAGTTGAGGTCGAAACGGCAGATACTGGTGCCTGGAGGAGAACAACTTTTAGGAAAGCAAGGCTATGTGAAATTCAATGGAAACATCAGATCTACTCTACTACCAGTCCTTCATCATCTCAAACGAAATTGGGTGAATACACCTCAAATTGTATAGGACTTGTTTGACCTTGCTTTTGCAACTTGGTCATATTGGCCGAAAAACCTATAAGAACGCATCTTGCCCGGAGTCCATAGTATGCATGATAATTTCCAGAGTCGGACGGTGAACTTGGTACATTCCAACTTGTGTTTTCCGTCGTATTTTCTCGAAATCTGATGAATAAGCCTCACGTTCCCATGCGAGTTCCCCTACCCTTGCATACCAAAAGGTATTCTCATCCGGGCTGGCCTGGACTGTGGTTTCGAGTTCGCCTGGGTCTCATCAGTTCTCTCAGTGGGAATCGAGACTTAGGCGAGATGCAGACTGCAGTTCGGCATGGATAAGAATACCTTTTGGAAGATTAGGCTGAGCGAAATTCGCTGGCATCGGGGAACCTGTTCATATGATTGTGGGGAAATTCATCACATTATGCGACCTAGGGTGGATACAATTTTTATTCAAAATTTGTTGATTGTCTTGAAATCCTACTCATTCCTATTAGATTAGGTGAAGCGAAAGCTGTAATTTTCCTAACTGGATTAATAGCATATTATTGACCAAGGGCTCATTCACATGCAAGCTTCCAACAGCACTGCCAACGGAATTCTAAACTTGGTGACCGACGTCCAGTTATCAACAGAATGCTCTGTAGAACATAAAACCCTGTTCTCAGGACTCTCGCGAGTCGAGTACAAAGTCGAATTGTGGGCTGATGAGAACGATTTAAGTTTGGGTCTACTTGGTAACGTCAATAAAGAGGGTTATGTTCGGTCGCCTAGACTTGCCGGCTCTTCCGCCAGTAGTTATTTTCATTGCAATAGTTAATAGATTCCATCAGATGGCGTAATTTTTTTTCAGTCTGATAGAAGCACTCAAAAGAGATGGAGACCTAAATGTAAGAGCAGTCTAAAATGTATGCAAAGTTTATGTGTTTAGTCGTAGTCATATCGATCAACCGTAGAGGCTTGTACTTGCTCGACTATTATCCACTTATTGCTTCATTCAGTTAAAAACACTAGACGGATTTCTGAGTTGCACTCGAGATATAAAGGCTAGGACCCTCAAGAAAGTCTCTTAATGACTTATTTCACCCTCCCTTGATTGAAGGCATTTTAGAATCTCCATCTAGTAAAATGTGAACATTGCCGCTCGCATAGACATTGAGCTATTCTTAGCAGC